ACCGTGGATGCAAGCAGAAGTATGACAAAGCAAGATTAGATTAACTGCATTAGTATTAATCTCAGTACAGCCTAGGAAAAGGAAATAAAAGGGAAGCAGTAAGACAGGACAGATGAGAAATTCTAGGATGTTACTGCTGGGGGACGTGGACTACGTGGGGCTCAGATCCACGCTCTGTTACTGACATCCAACATGAAGGTGAAGACGCCCTTTTCCCACCTATAATACCGGTATGCTAATACTGCCTTAGCAGACAGCAGGAGAGCAAGACTAAGTGATTTTGGTATGTGCTCTGAGGATTACATTAGAAATCTTAGTTGCCATTTTTAGGGCAGTAACAGGACCAGTCAACCACATTTTCTCTACAGAACAAGTAGGAGTACAGACTTGCAACACCCCTTCTTTCAGCTGCAACGCCTGGCATCTATAGGCTACAGAAGACCCCTCGTCTAGCAGTTCATGCTTTGGTACTCTACAAACGTGTAAGCACAGCCTGCGGGGTGTTATATGGGAAGACATCCAAAGGCATGTGGCACGAGCAGAAGTGCTGCAACAGCCCCCCACAATCAATCTGCTTCCCTGCTATGGTTTCTTCACTGACAACTCTCTGTACTTCTTTTAGATGCTATTACTCAACTAAAAATCTGTGCTGTAAATGACGAAGGTTGTGCATGTAAGCGCTTTAGGCAGAAACTGCATGTGTTTCAACAAGCAGAGAAGAGACAAATAAAGTTGCTTCTGAACTATGGCTGAACTGAGATAAAAAAGCAAAACAAAACTGTGAAGTATTCTCATTCTTTATAATTCTCTCATTTTTCCCTCATGTTTTCCTCAACATGGGAGAGTAAGAGTGGCTGGGGGCTTTGAAGGGCTGCATCCTGTATCCCCCACTTTTTTGTTTCGAACATCCCCACACTTATTAGTCACTGGGTGACAGTACTTTTCCTGAGTTTGTTTCACTCACAGCTGTGCAATCGATCTGCTTTTGTGGATGTAACTAATGTTAAAGCTAGCTTTGAGGTCTGAAAAATAATTTTAGTTTGATGAAGCTTGATAATAATTTTATTATTATCATAATGCGTGTGGGGACCCTTCCCCATAAACCAGAACTCCATGATGGTAGCTATCACGCAAACCCATACAGAAGCCTGCAGCACGAGTGCAGCACAAAGCACAAGGCAGAGATGCAGCTGGCCAGGATGTGAGCGCAAGGAAACGCGGAGACCACGCTGACCAGCCAAGAGCCGCTGGTCTCCCCGCGCTACCCACCTAACCAGTGGTAACTGACTTCACTTGGCCAGCTCAGGTGAGGCTTTAGGTTGCTTAATATCATGCATTTGAATCACGTTCTCATGGTGAAGATGCTCATGAAAAAAAAAATGATATTAATACCCAAAATTGCCAGCGAAATCTACCAGGTAGGTTTCTCCCAAATGAGGTTTCTCCTCAGGAGCTGGGCAGCAGCATTTCAGCTCCTGCAGAAACGACGTCAAAATACTGATACCCCCTGCTCGGATGCAGCTCTCTCCTTGCCCGGTCGTGGTATCGATTCCTCTGTGCAGGGAAAGCGCCAAGGCAGAGCTTGGGGCGCCACAGGAGGCCCCGCGTCCCCCAGCGCCAGCGCGGAGGTGCCTGCCGAAGGGAGGGCGCCCGGCCTGCGAGGGCAGAAAACAGAGAGCCCAGGAGACTGCAGCAGAGAAGCTTCCCAAGGAAGGCGTCCGACAACCCTCTGATCAACTGGGGAGGCCGTGGTTGAGAAACTGTTCAGAGGGAAACATCTCGCACCTGGCCAGACGTGCCTGAAGGAAGCTGGCTTCTTCTTCTCACTGCTAAAGGGTGAACAGACCCCATCTTGTTTTAGCCTCCTGTTCGTCTTTGCCTTTCGTGTTAGAGCTTGTTACTGCCGTCGGGATGAAACTACCTCAGGTACTACTGGGTTCAGCTATTGGGCCCAATGCCCTGATTGCTGGTTACAAACTCCAGACAGAAAAAACTGCACGTGGTAAACCCAATATGACCTTCTGGGGTAAAAGTTTGTAGATCCACAAGCTGGGATATTTGCCCAGCAGGAACTTGAGTCCCAGAAGGATCAGCAGTTCCATCTTTGAGGGCCAGAATCATTGGGAACAGGAGCTTCCGGACAGTCCAAACCCTCTGCACTGTGGCAAAGCTACCAGCCCTTGCAATCTCTGCATGAACCTGGTGAGGATCTGGTGCTTGCCTTAGAACCTCAAATCTTGCACTAAAAACCCAGATCTTGCTGTCAACTGGTGACTGAGGAATTTCCACTAAAAGCAGAAGAAAGGGTTAGGGACAAGAAACTGAAGAAAGAACACACGTTTCTTCTCACCTTGTAAATTCTTGAGCCATCCTAAGATTTGGTAAAATACGCTATCACTGGCAACAGCTGCATGAGATGACAGACACAGTGCATTCGACTGAGTGCTTTTCCTGGGGGCTCGTTTCCCTTCCCAATTCACCATCCAAACTCACCAAATAATAACGGCCTCATAATAATGGGGCTGGGGGAAGGGGAGCAGGTCTATTTTTAAGCCGGGAAGGGCGGGGAGGGGCAGGTCTATTTTTAACCCTGGAGCTTTTCACTGACCCAGTGATCTGGATCTGGATCTGTACATTCAGGCGGATGTGAGGTCCCATTTCCAAAAAACAAGACCAAAAGGTTTTTAAAATTTGTGAGAAAATGGTATTTCCCCCCCAAAAGCCACGCACCCCAGCGCATCATCCCCCCCCCAGCTGCACCCGGCTCCCCTTTGTTGCCGACTCCCCAAG